TCACAAAATCACTTTTTATTCAATGCTACTGCAATAAGATTAAGATAAATTGAGTTTGTACTCTTTAATGTCATGCCTAGATGCACTTTTAAGAAAAGTTACTAAATCATCATTAATTCTCATGCTACCCACTCTGATGATGTGTAATTATCTAAAAATGTCTCAAAATAGTCACCTTGGAAGGCCCCGTACTTCAAATTTATTTCACCATTTTATGCACCTGAGTCTGACCCACACTGCTTCCTCATGGGCCTGTCTTGTCAGACACTAGGATGGCAGGAGGACACACTTCTTCTGGAGGGAAGTACAAGGTCCCCCAAGACTCACCAAATCTGTTTCCAACACTGCCTACCTGGGGAGCAGGGCGGGTTCCACAGCCCTGAAGCTGGCCTGCAAAGCTTTGCATATACCCTCTCTCAGCCTCAGCAGCCAGGGAGAGATGGGCTGCCAACAGAGGGCACTGAGCTGGAGCCTTCCACGCAGATGCCACCTGGGAACTGGAAACCAGGAGAAGACTCCCAGAAAAGTGCCTGCAAAGTCTCCCCAGTTCCACCATGCGGCTTCTCAGAGCCCAGGAAGAGGACAGAACCCAGGAGCCTCCAGGGGAGGCTGCACAGGCACACATATCCATCTTAGGAGATGAACCATCTCTAGGCTTTTGGATCCCCACCTCTCCCATCTTTCTTTTTCAAATAGCTCATCAGGGAGTTAAATGCCAGCCTGCCTCTGCTGCACTGCAGTAGAAACAAGCCAACCATTTGTATCTACACTTGCAAGGGAAAAAGTGGAGCCTGTACTCCCTGGAGGGCGAGGCAGGGGCGGGGGCAGAGAAGTCACAATCAAGGGGTGACCTCCAAGGACAGAAGCAAGTCTTAACCCCACAAATTCGGGCCAAGTGACATCTCTCCATTTTAAGTCAAAACTCTATCAGGGTTTCGTGGTTGTGTTTCCAGCAGCCGTGCGGGTGCCAGGCACTGTGCTGGACCCGGGGCTGGGAAGAGAGGCACAGAGGACCAGCACTCAGCCTTCCTCTCTTTGGAAGACAGACAAGAAAATGGTAGGGTGTGGTGAGGGCCATCACAAAGATGTGAGCCAGGAGCTATTTGAGGAAAACTGAGAAGGCTGGAGAAGTACTCAGAGGTGACCTCTGAGCCAGAACCTGAGGGTGGGAGGGTCTCTCCAGAACAATAAGGAGGATGTCTGCATCAGAAGAAGAAGGAAAGTCTAGGCAGATTCAAGGACCACGAAAGCATAGCAAACGCGAAGACAGCTCACTGGAGCAGAGAGTTCGTCGCAGAGGAGGCAGAAGAGCAGGCGCATCTGGAAAGGTGAGAATCTCTGTGCCGAGCGACATGGAGGGCTTTGTCCTACAGGCAAGGAGACAGCCACCTGTCCCTTCAGGACCTGGCAATGCTCCAGTTCATCTGTTCATGCAATATGGGCAGGGAGGTAGCCAGGTGCAGGGCCTGCCCTGGAGGTATGACCAGACTGAAGATGCATCACCCAAGAAATGTCGAGCCCAGCTGTGCCTCAAGATGCCCTGAGAAGTCCAACCCCAGAGGGCACCAAGCAAGGTCTTTAATTATAACTTAGGAAAGGACCCATTTCTATGCACTAACCTGAGCCAACAGCACAGGGTAGAAGATGTGACCAAATGCAAGTCCCTAGAGGCCATCCCTTGACTGCCAAACCCCATGTCTGCTTATCAACATAAGAGATTCAGAAAGTGAAAAAAAAAAAAAAAAAAAAAGAACCCCTTCCTCAGCCCTCACATTCCAGGCCTGCCTGCAGAGGAAGACACAGTCCCCAGCTGGGCAGTAGTGTGGCAGGGAGGGTCCTTCTGCCCTGGAGATTAGCATTCAGCTCCTTTTAAAGCCTAAGATTTTACTGCTCATTACTACCAAAACCCAGAGCTGCTCACTTGGTAAATCCCTGAGAGTCTGCACTGCGGGAGCTACTGCTCTTGGTGCTGGAGAGACAAGGACAGGGACAGCCACATAGTCCTGGCCCATGAGCAGCTCACTGCCTGGCATGGAGCTGGCTCACCCTACAGACTCGGCAATCCACGGAAGGGCAAGGGTATGGCAGCCGCCCAGAGTGGCTCCTGCCAGAGGGAGGAGAGTCTCCAAGGGCTTCCCAGAAGAGTCACCTGAGCCAAATTTACCTGGGGACGGCAGAAATTAGGCACAGAGTGCTGTGGGCAAAGGAGTAGAAGGCACAAAAGTCTACAGGGGATAGAAGTCTCTAGAAATTCCAGGAATGTGTTAAACTCTTCTAGTCACTGTCCCTGTAGCAAAAGCAGCAGTGTGCCTAAGGGTTAAGCCACAGGTTTGTGACTCAGAGCACCTGGGTTCACATTCCAGCTCCACTCTGGAGCTGTGGCTGCTTGGGAGGACATGAAGCCTCATGGGCTTTGTTTCCAGGCAGATGGAATAACGCTGGTCACAGGGGTGTGCTCCGAATATCACTTTCTGCTGTTTGCCAATGAAATGTGAGAGCAGCCGCACCTGACTGTGCAGGGATGGGAGTCCAGGTAAGCACAGGTGCTGGAGGCAAGCTTGCACCTGGGCAGGTGGCAGTGGCTGCGTCACAAGACTGGGAGGCACTCTGGGGCCTCCCTGCTCCTAGAGCTTTGAATACAGAGGTGGAGGAGGATGAGGCAGCAGGCTCTGGCTCCCCATCCCCTACGGTGCACCAGCTCTGGGCATTGTTCCAGGCTTCCCCCAGGCATTGGCAGCCATGCGGATCCCTTTCCTTGCCTGCAGCAGCCCCCTCCAGCTCCCACCCCACGCTCCAGATCTCTTGGTTTGAGAGAACCCTCAGCTCCAGATGACAGTCCCCCAGCAGGCAGATATCCAGCCCTGCAGGAGAGTAGAGACCTGCCTGCCCTCAGCACACCAAAGTTCCTGTGGCTCGGAAGCTGGGGTGGAGGAAGAAGGCAGGTCTAGTGGGTGTGTGCCTTAGGACTGAGCAGTGCAGGGGGGGGGGGGGGGGGGGGGGGGGGGCCAGGAGGAGAATATGAGAGTCAAACACACCCAGTCCCTGCTGGCAGCAGAAACCCAGCAGGTCACCAAGCCATCTGGATCCTGACTCCTACATGGACCAGTGATACCCACTTTTGCAGTAGTGGGCACTAATGCCACAAGAGCAGAGCATCTCACTGTAGTGCAGCAGGTAACAACCATCTGGTAAATGGAGCCACCGTGATTGGTGCCCACCACCCACACTCCAACCTGGCAAGCAGCTCCTGGCAGGGACCTGGCACAGGCTGTATAGGCAAATCCTCCATCCAGACTGAGCGACTGACCCCTGGAGTGTCTGTGGGATCCCATGGGAGACAAATTTTGCAGGTTCCCCTCTGCCTGGCCTAGTCCCCATTCTGGGTATAGACCCTGCCCTGCACGCACAGGCACACATTCATTCCCTACATACACCATTGTCCACACCAGGCCCCACAGCCCAGGTAGTACCCCTACCAGGTGGCAGGTGGTTGACTGCAGCATGTGCGTGGTTCCCCCAAAGAAATAACCAACCTAGAGGGTTCCAGAGGCTCTCCCTCCCCTCCTCCTTGGGCCCATGAACACCAGCAGGCTCACTGGACAGGCGCCACCCCGCTCCTGTACCCTGAGTGACATGAACTAAGCTGAGCTCCCAAGATCAGGTGGACATTCTAAGGATAAAGGCATCTGATAACAAGGTGTGACAGGGCCAGGAAGAGGGGAGCCCGCACACGATGAGCATCAAGCTTTCCTTGTACCTCTACTGCTCATGGTCAGACAGCTGCTGCCCCAGCTGTCCCCCACCCTGGTTCCATGGTCCACAAGCAGAGCCACATGCTACTGACACTGTAACTAGGCCACCAGCCCTACAGCCAGACCATCCCCACCCTCGCACCCACCAAGAAGGCCCATCCACAAGCAGATGCCTGCTATCACATGCACACCTGTGTACATGTGTGCACGCACACACACATACACACACTCATGTATAACTGAAGATCCAGAAGCCCAAAGCCACCCTTTCTGCCTGATCCATATCATCCCTCTCCAACTCTGAGTCACAGGTCTCCTTCTCTCCATCTGACCTAGGTCCTACCAGGTCTGGTCAGAGTGGGACTCCCTCTCTTCTGTCTGGACACTGGGAAAACCTTCCAGGATTTTGAAGCCAACACCCCACCCGCTTCAGGCACAGTCAGTGAGAATGGCCATGCTTGCCTTCAAAGGGTCGGGGTGGTAGGGCTTTTGTGAGGACTGCTCTGGGCTCTGGAGGCCTTCGGGAGCACCCTCCCTATGAACAGCCTGCCTGGGTAGAGCCCACCACAGCTAATGGCCCCTCCAGAGGCTGGGTGTGCTCACAAGCCCAGCAGCGTATGTGCACACACATTCCTGCACATGGGGCCTGGGCGACTCTTTGCTGTCCCCAGAATATATGCTTTGACTTGTTCCCCAATAATGAGATGAGTCACCCTGAAACTTCTACCCTCGTTAGGCAGCTCTTCTTGTGATCAAGAGTCAGGTGATCAAGGTGAGGCCCATCTATAGCCAGACAGGTGAGCTCTGGTCAGGGAAAGCCATCGTATCCAGACTAGGGTATAGGAGACACCCATTTATAAAGGGTCAAAATGAGACCAAATTGAGAGTAGGGGGAAGGCCAGACTCAGGGTCAGTATGGGGCTAGCCTGTTAACTATTATGGCTGCATCGATGTGGGGTCTGCTTTGGGAGGCACTGTGCCCCTCAGGAAAGCCATATGGCCCTGAGAGGCTGGATCCCAGGGGGCGACCTCCAAACTCACAGCAGTCACTTGGTTCTTTGCTATCCTGAATCCATACAGGGGAAGCCCTGAAGATGACCTGTTTCAAGCCCCGGCGCAGCCCTACCACATGCACACCTGGAGATTGAGGGAGCCCTGCAGGCCCTGGTCCCAACACAGAGGCCAGTGTGTCCAGAACAGGAGCATACACATAGATAGGAGGCGACACCTGCACCCTCCCAGCACCACTGGAGTCTCCTCAGGATAATCATTTATTATTCATAGTCATCAGCATCTTCATTAATTATTCATATGATCCTTAATTATTATCCTTAACAATAAGAGCAGTAAATAGCAGAAAAGTCCTTGAGGTGCCTAAGGCCCAGGGCCGGGTGCCTCCGGGCAGTTAGACCAGCTAATGCCCCCAGGGCAGTGGGGGGACCACAGACCCCCTGTCCACTGCCCGGCCCTGCCCCTGCCCCTCCCAGTGGGGCCCAGGGGACTTCAGGAGGAGATGGTCCCAAGGGCAGGGAGGAGCTGCTCCTTCACCGTCCTCTCCCCTCCGCGGCCAGGGCCTCCTGGGCAGGGCCTCCGAGGGGAGCGGCCCAGGCGGTGCCCTGAACCCTGGGTGAGCCACACATCTGTACTAGGCGGCCCCACTAACTGCCCGGGTCTGAGCCATGTCTGTGCAGAGGCTGGGAGGTGAGGGCCCCCAGCTGGCCCGGCAGGGAGAGGCGACGAGTGGGGCCTTCTTGGGGAAGCTCTGGGACTCCCGGAGGAAGCTCCTCGAACGCCATGAACTGGGAAACCTGCAAAGACGACGGAGTGTGAGCAGACAGGCAGGACACGGAGAAGGAAGGAGGTGGAGAGGGCCAAGAGAATTCAGGCTACAGAGGTCAAGAAGCCCTGAAGCTCCTGTCAGGTGCACAAGGAGGGGCCTGAAGGGGACAAAGAGAAGAGCCATGCAGACAGCAGGACGGGGACAGCAAAGGGACACACACTGTGGTTGGAAGTAGAGAAAGGCCTCTAAAGGCAAAAGCCAAAGGAACAGAGGCAGCTGGGAGGAGCTGAGGGACTTCCCCCTGACAGAGGGCCTCGCTGCCCAGCCAGGGAAGAGACGAGGGCACAGCCTCTTCCTTCCCAGGGAATGGGACGCTGAATCCAAACCCAATCTGGAATTAGGAGTCCCTGAGTTGGGACAGGAGCTGGGACAGAAAGAGAGATGAGGTTTCTTTCTGCAATTCTAGAAAGAACTCTGAGGACCTAGAAACAGAGGCAGGCTGGCGGCCAGGCAACTGAAGGCCAGGGAGAACGCCAGGGCAGGCGGGAGGGGTTTGTGGGTGCTGACGAGTGTGCTGGTGAGATCCCTGCGGGGGAGGCTGTGAAGGGAGACTGGCACATTTGCTGACGTGGGCCCTGGTGTCTGCAAACAGGAGCAGGCAGCATATGGGAGGGGGAGCCATGCCAGGTGGGGGGAGGAGGCAGATCCCAAGCTGCCTCTGGGAACCAGAGGAGCCCCCTTCTCCACCCTCAGGAACTGGTACAGGGAGGCCCAACACAGTTGTCCTTCAGAAGGCCAGAAACACATAGATCCTCTTAGGAGAGGACAAAGGGCATCTGAGGACAACCTCCAGCAGAAGGAGATAAATGTAGGCCCAGGAAGTCCTGGCCCAGGGGCTTGGCCTCAGTACCATGGAAATGCCAGAAGCCTTCAAAGAGGGTGCTGTAGTATGGCTAGAGCAAAAAGCTAAGAGGGCAGATGTAAGACTGGGGATATGTCACCACAGCAGGGACCCGGGACACACTGGCACACAGACTCAGGCTCCTCAGTGAGACCTGGCCCTTCAGACAATGCCAGGAGAGCCCGTGTCGATCAGGCTCTGCTTCCCTGCTCCCAGCTGTCTACCTCCTGCCTTGTTCTCTCCAGCCTCTTGGTGGGACAGAAGACAGGAACCACCCCAGAGAAGACAGGAATAGGATGGGGGAGGCTGGGCACGAGGCCTAGCAGGAAGGGTGGCAAGTCAGGGTAGAACTGCAGGACTGGGGGGGTGCTATGGGAGAAGGGCTGGGAACTCACCTGAGAAAGCGAGTCCAGGGTGAGGGTGGGGATGGGGCCCACAGGCAGCAAAGGGGAGGTGGAAGTGGGACCAGGCCCCGGGGTGGTCACAGCACTGTAGGCAGGTGGGACCAGTGTCATCTGCCTCTGTAGCAGCTGCAGGACAGTGGCCATGTCTGCACTCAGCCGGGTCTCCAGCCTGGAGCAAGAAGTAGGGAGGGCAAACTTGTGGCCATGGGGGGTGGGGGGATGTTCAGTAGAGACACCATTGTTGACTTCAGGACTGCCTTGGGGGCAGGGTCAACCCCAAGGTCCCTCTCCACTCTGGGTGTCTGGCTCAGATCTGAGTAGGAGAGTCCGGCTGCCTGGACCCACAGACAGGCCTGGACTGAGCAAGCGCCCTTTAGCCCACAACATGGCCAGCACCCCACAGAACAGCTCCTGTATTCCCATATAGTGCAGCCCACCCCTACCCTCTCCAGACATGCCAACTCACCTGTTGAGCTGCCGCTGGAGCGCGTCCAGCCTGCTCTCCACATCACCCCGGGGCCGCCGGCTGGGGCTGGACAGTGGGATGTTGAGGAGGCTGGGGGTGGGGGCGGGGCAGCGAGGCAATTCCTGGTACTGGCGGCCCCGGCTGTCCCCCCAAAAGCTGAAAATGTTGGACACCCCAGAGAAGGCGCCTGGAGCCAGAGAGTAGGGGTGAGGCCGGGAAGAAAGGCCACGCCCCCGCCCTTCGCGCGGCCCCCCTGGCCCCGCCCCTACCTGAAAGAGGGTTGCAGGTGTCACTGCTCTTCTCCCGGTCCTCCGTCAGGGGCTCCCCACCCAGTGGCTCTCCAGGGGGCCTGGGACTAGAGAAGGGCACCAGGCGGAGGGGGCTGGAGCTGCGACCTGGTTCCTCATCCTCACTGCTCTCGGGGCTGGAGGGGCCACTGGATGGGCTCTCCCCCCAGGACTCCCCCAGCCGGCCGCGGCTACTCTGCCCTGCCCCGGCCCGGCCAGGCCCCAAGGCCGACATCTCCCCTGGCTGCTCCGCGTCTGCAGGAAACAGAACCGACTTCAGAGAGGGGACAGAAGGGAAGAGCAGCGGGCGGCAGGGATGGAAACAGGAATAGAAGCCATCCCGGAAAAGGGCCATGCCAGGGCTGGGCCGAACTGCCTTTGGCTGTCTCCCCCTGACCACTGTCAATCACACTAACTCCCACACAGGAAGCCCCTGGGCGGGGCTCTGAGGGACCTTCCCCATGGCTGGCCCCTCGCCTCCTTTGTCCTGCAGTGTCCCTGCCCATCAGTTCAAGGCAGCGTCCTCCAAGACTCAACCTCGTGCGGGGGTCTGAGGTGACAGCACTTGCAGGGGAGGTGGCGGCTCAAGCGCGCCTTTAAGGATGGCAGCGTTCGAACAGACAGGGGGCGGAGTGGGCACACTGCGTAAGGAACGCGAAGGTGTGAGGGGCCTGGACAGAGTAGACAGACACTCGTGGCCCGCGGTCCCCTCCCCGTCTCACCCTTGTCGGTGCGCCTCCGGAAGGACAGCTTGCGCTTGCGTTGCCGGTTGAAACCGCCCTCTAACTCCGCGCTGCCAGGGGAGCCCGGGATCATGTTGGTCTGGAACCAAGAATGGTGTCAGAGCCTTCCTCTGCCCTCCAGCCTCACCCAGGTCAGGTCAAGGCCCCTCATCAACATAGAGGAGGTGGGGCTGAGCGCTCCTGCTGAAGGAAATGCCCCCCTCCTTTAAGATTCTTCCCAGGGACAAGAGCTGAAGCTGGATTCCATAACCTACGATACCACTGGACAGACAGGGAAATGGAGGGAGAGAAGCAGCACACTCGCACACTCGAGATCACAGAGTGAAGGTACAGCCCCCAACTGGGAGAAGGCAGCTCTTCTGGGGGTAGCTGGAGATGGCCAACTTACATCCCGCAGGTTGAAGGTGATCTCCAGGCTAGACCAGAAGTGGTCTGAGAACTCAGGGTACATATCCAGCACCTCTAGCAGGTCGTCCCGATGGATTTTATGCAGGTCACAGTAGGTAAGGGCACGCACGTCCCCATTGGACTTGCCAGGCCGTGCATACAGGTTCAGAGGCTCTCCAAAGATGTCGTTTTTCCCTGGAGGCCAGAGAGGACAGAGTTTTCAGCCCACCGGGCCAGCATCAGGAGGAGGCAGGTACCCTCCTTCGGGGCATTTCAGCCTGTCCCCAGCTACATAGCCAGGGGAAGCATCAGCCAGTCCTCCCTCCCCAACTCCCAGCAGGCAGGACAGGGCCAAGTGGCCTCAATGCCTGAGGGAAAAGGGGTCAGGAATTTTGGGTCTCCCAACAACTAGGACCCAGCCAAAAGGCCCACCTGGGATACTCCAGCTCTGCCTGTGGCCTTGACTTCCTTGGGTTGTAACCCCACTTCTAGCTCCAAGCCTCCATGTCCCAAACACCCTCCTAGCCAAACACTGCACCCTTATAAGCAATGTTCTTCAAGCTATAGATGAGAACACAGTAGTGAATCGGGACCAGCATTTTTTTTTTTTTAACTGAAAGAAAATAGGGCCAGGTGCAGTGGCGCACGCCTGTAATCCCAGCAGCTCGGGTGGCTGAGGCAGGAGGATTGCGAGTTCAAAGCCAGCCTCAGCTTTAGCGAGGTGTGAAGCAACTCAGTGAGACCCTGTCTCTAAACAAAATACAAAATAGGGCTGGGAATGTGGCTCAGTGGTCAAGTGCCCCAGAGTTCAATCCCTGGTTTGAAAAAAAAAAGAAAAGAGGATAGCATACCATAACACAGCATAGAACAGAAAAAGTCGGAAGGTACTACATGTAGTGACGTGTAGTGAAACTTTGACTTAGTTGTGTGGGGTGTATGTTTATTGACTGGGTGTATGTGTTTGTGCTGAGCTGAGAAATAAAAATCTAAAAATCTACTGTAAGTCATGGTCAAGAGTCTGGTGCATCTGCCCCTAAGGTGTACAGCACCAAGAAAAGAACAGACCAGGGCAAGAAGTCCCCAATGGCCACACCTATCCATGTGCTCAGGCTGGGTAGAAAGGAAGGGGTGCGGGAGCTATATTGCATGGAATCACCAATGTGGTCTCTAGTTGGGCACTTCTCCCTCCACTGCTCACCTGGGAGGATTTAAATTTGATCCGGCTTTATTTCAGCAGCTCGACCCCCAAGGAGGTTCCTCCCCACCGCCCAGCTAAGAGGGCCGGAGTTGGGTGAATTAAAGGGCCCAAGGAACCTGCCATCAGCCCTGGGTCCACAGCCTCCGTGACTGCATATTCAGAGGGCTGAGGCCCCTCTAGGCTACAGCTGGCATTTCCTATTCAATGCCCCCACCACGTACCCAAGATGGCCACAACGACATCGCCCCGCAGGATTTCAATAGAACCACGGGAGATGAAGTAGAGCGCCGTGAGCAGGTCCCCAGCGTGCACCAGCGTATCTCCTGGTGGTGCATGTGTGGTCTTGAACTTCATGGCCAGAGCCCTCAGGCAGCCCTTGGTGGCCCCGCGGAAAGGCTTGCAGTGCTGCAGCAGTGACCGGTTCAGGTGCAGGCAGATGTCGGCCTGCAGGCACTCAGGGAAACCTTTCAGCACCTGAGGACAGGTGAGACCACTCAGGACACCCTCTCCTGGGACCCCAACCACTCCCCAGTCCACTGCCCCACACCTCTGTCTCCTCTAGGCCCCAGAGATCAGGATGCTTCCCAGAGCCTCAGAGGTCCAGTGTCGAGGGAAGCACCTGGGCTCCTACTCCAGCTGCACCACCTCTGGATGGGCACCCTTGGTCTCCAGACCTCCACTTTCTCCTGTGCAAGTGTAGAGACCAATGCCTGCTTTCAGCTCTAGCAGGATTTTACGCCCTCCCCTATATAAATGGCCTAAGGGCTCAGCACTTGACCCAGTGGGAGGGGTCTCCAATAAAGGAGCTCTGTGAGCTTGAGTTTCCTCCCGAGAAAAAGGAAGCCACCTGTTTCTCAGGGTCCCTCTTAGCACTGATTGGGTACATTGGAGATAGGCTTGCTGCACCAAGAGGTTCCCGCCATCAGCTACTGGCGCCTCACCGCGTTCATGTCGATGCCGTTGGTGTAGGACCAGGCGTGCTGGAAGTATTCCTCTAGGCGCTGACGCAGCGGGTTAGGAATCTGGTGAAAGCGGATGAACTCCCGCACCCGGAGCATCTGTGTGTGGTAGCGGGCGGTGCCCGAGTACAGCCGCTGGATGATGGCAGACACGTTGCCGAAGATGCTGGCATACATGAGGGCTGGGGGCGTGGGTGAGTGGGGCCGTCAGCATCCGCAGGGACCCCGCCCTCCCACGGGGACCCTCTGCTCAGGCCCTGCACCAGGTCAACGACACGACACCCGCGGTCCGGTCACGTCTCAGTCTGAGAGTGGATATAAACATGCTCAAACACACGCCATCCTTCAGCATTTCCTGCCCTGATTCCCAGACTCCAAACCATGTCATGGTGGTGGGCCCTGGAGTATCTAAGTGGGGGCGGGGCAAGGGGCGAGGAGCTCTAACCGCCTCTCTTCTTTCCAGCCCACCACCCCACCACCCTGCCCCCCACGACCAGCGCCCCACCAAGCCCCCAGCCCCGCCCCTAGGTACACTCACAGCCAATGAGCATGACGCAGATGGAGAAGATTTTCTCCGAGTTAGTATTTGGAGAGACATTGCCGAAGCCCACGCTGGTGAGGCTGCTGAAGGTGAAGTAGAGCGCTGTGACGTACTTGTCCTTGATGGAGGGACCACCCAGGCCACTGCTGTTGTAGGGCTTGCCGATCTGGTCGCCCAGGTTGTGCAACCAGCCGATGCGCGAGTCCATGTGCGGCTGCTCCATGTTGCCGATGGCGTACCAGATGCAGGCCAGCCAGTGCGCAATGAGCGCGAAGGTGCACATGAGCAGGAAAAGCACGGCGGCCCCGTACTCCGAGTAGCGGTCCAGCTTCCGCGCCACGCGAACCAGCCGCAGCAGCCGCGCAGTCTTCAGCAGCCCAATGAGCTGAGGAAGATGCGGGGTAGATATTCAGTGTGGGAGCAAATAAGGAGGCCGGGGGTGGGGTGGGGGGAGGGCATTGTGGCCCTTGGAGAGGGAACTGGAAGTAAACTCGCCAAAGACACCCTCCCAGAACCTTTCTAATAACTGAAGCCACTTGTAGGAAGCACCTCCTACGCTGCTCCCAGCAGTGTCTCATTAATCTTTGGGCATTCTTTAGGACACACTGGTCACATTCCCATAACGAAAATTAAGAAACAGGGGCTCCAGAAGGTCCAACAGTCACCCAAAGGTGCCTCCCACTAGCTTCCAGGGCACTGGAAGTGTTAGAAAACTGTACTTTGGGTGGACAGATATCAAAAAAGAGCCCCCTCTGGTCCCCTAAAGCCCTTTGGGCAGCCCATATGGAAAGGAGGCACAAGAATGGATTTGTTCAGGTACCCCCTTGCCTATGATGGCCATTTCTCCTCTTCTCCCCTCCTCCGTCTTCAAGCCCCCCCACCTCCCACAGCATCTCTACACCCCCTCATGCCCTCCTGGCCTCTCCTCCCTCTCTCTGCCTCCCTATCGACCCCACCTCCTCAGAGCCAGAGCCAAAGATGAGCAAGTCAAAGGGGATGGCGGCCACCATGTCAATGAGAAACCAGCCCTTGAAGTAGTGGACAGCGATGCGGCCGGGGTGGCTGACCACCTCCTCGTTGGCATTGACATAGGTGGTGCGGAAGTTGATGAGGATGTCCACGATGAACATGATATCCACAATAAGGTCCACCACGGCCAATGGCTGGCAGGCATAACCACAGTCAGGGGCCTGGGAACCCTCTTCAGTCTCCTTCAACAGGAAGGCAGCCGAGTAGGGCGTGAAGACAGCCGTGTAGATGACCAGCAGCAGGATGAGCCAGTCCCACACGGCCTTGAAGGGGCTGTAGTGCAGGATGGTCCAGCGGTGGATGCGTGGTGCCTGCAGCTTATATTCCGGCAGCACGTCAGCACCCAGAGACAGGACCTGGAATGGTAGGGAAGGTGCAGGTGAAGGACGAAGACAGGCCATGGAACCTCCTGAGTGACAGCTAGTGACATCCCTGCCAGAGCCAAATAGGGTAAGGAAGGAAGACCAGAAACATTTCCATCAGAATGCCCAACCCAACAGCCAAGCAGCCATAACTACTCACCACCCCCCAGACCTGGGCACTACAATTTCCCAAATGCCACACAGAACAGCTGGCTCCACACAGTTCTCTCAGTTCCCATAATTCAGGGCACTGTGCAGTAAAGCTCAGTACTGCTCCCCACAACCAATGCAGACCAGACTGTCAGACAACAACTGGCACCATGCAGTCACACCACACACACACACCGCACATACGCACTGTGTCAGTCCAGGAAAATGTTCCAAGGACTCCAGCTCCCAGCACTGCAGTTCCAGAGACAGGCTCTAGACACTTGTCCTACCAGGCCCATGTCTTGCCACTGGCCTAAAGACACCAGCAACCCAGCCTCAGGCCCCTTGCCCTCACTGGCAGGAAGAACCAAGATGTTTCCACCTCCCACTCTCCTAGCCCCAAGGCAGGCTCCCATACTCTTACAAAAGGATACAGAGGACACAGCCAGGCCCAGAGGAGCTGGGGCACAAAATACAGAGGGGCATGCACACCAGGGCCACTTAGGAGCAGCATGCACAGCCTATACAGGCATTCACTCAACAGTCAGGCAGAGGTGGGCCCACAACCCACACCAGGTGGCAGCAGTCATGACACTTTCTCCCAAACCAAACTAGGGAACGCTCAGACCAGCTTTCCCATGTTGTTTCAGAAGCCTCTGTGTGTTCCTCTGTCCTACCCCTGCTCTCCAGAATGCTCTCACAGATATCTGACTCAACCCAAGACACCCTCCCCTCACCCTCCCACCCCAGACCCTGCACTCCCTGGGCAGCCAGACCCAAGGCCTCAACCAGCCCACAGAGCTGCTGGCCCTGCTCCCAGAAGCACTGAGTTCCTGGGACAACCATGTCTAGGCTGGGAGGTGTCCCAAAGAATCCCATTCATTAGCAACAGGGGATCCCTGGGGCCCACCTACACAAAGGACAGGTTGGAAAACACCCATAAATAACCAAAAGGTAAGAAGGGTCATAGTTAGGGCTTTGGCCATGCTGGGATGGACACAGAGGCACCAGACTGGGGGTACAGGGGTAGCAGCTAAGGCCTGGGGCAGGGGAGGAGTCTGTGGACAGGCCTCCAGAATCCCATTTCTGCCCTGCCTTCAGACTAAGTGGGCTGTTCCTTAAGGCAAAGGGTAAATGTGTATGGTGTGGTGCCTTTCAGGGCTCAAGTGGGAACTGAAAGAAAGGAACTGAACCCCACAGGAAAAGGGCAGAAGGAGGTGGCTGCCCTGAATAGGACTCCTCCCTGTGCCTGGAGGTGGGTCCTGTGCCAGGGAAGTTGGTTGTGCTGGTCGACCCCTAACAGCAGTGATCCTGCCCCCAAGTCTGCCCACAGCCCCAGTGCACACATGCATGTGCAGCAAGCCCAGGATGCAAGGCCTGGAACAGCCAACCTCATGGGCCTGAGGGCCAGTCCCAGCTCTGCGTCACTAGCTTCCCACATGGCCTGGGGCCAGGTTTGTCATCCCCTTGACCTGTTGTCCTGTAGAACACTGACCAAACCCTGGGTCCTCATCTGTGGGGGAAGAATCCCACCTGTACCTGTACCTGTCCCCCAGGTAAGAGGGTCATAAGAGCCCAGGCAGGGGCAGGCAGGGGCGGGCAGGGCCAGGAATGGTGGTGGCAGTAGTGGGATTCACAAGAGACAAGAAAGCCACTGGGAGTAGAGAGACAGTTCCCAGGAAGTAACCAACAGCTTGGAGGACCATGGCCTAGGCTGCCCCTGAAAAGATGAGCCAGTTCTCAGCCCAGCATGTCCTCACAACCCACCCAGTGGCCTCCAGCCTCTGCCCTCCTCAGACTCCAGCCTCCAGAACCCCTGAAAGCTCAGCAAGCCTCCCTTCCCTGTCACAGGGGCCATTCCCGCAGAGCAAGGAAGCTCCGCACCTGCGTGCCAGGCCTGCTGTGCTCGCCAGCCTCTCACTGTCCCTGCCTGCTGGCTCCTTTGCCTCCCCGAATCTCCCCACCACCCTCTCTGGGCCCCATCTGATTCCTGTTGTCTTTCTCTCCTCCCTTCGCATTTTGAGGTAGAAGACTGTGGGTCACAGAAACCACAGGGGAGGGCCCCCAGTCAGGGAAACACTGGGAACACAGACCCCACAGGCCAGGGTGGGCAGGAGCTCGGTGGTGGGCAGGGCCTCAGACTCCTTGGCTCCCCAAACCACCCGACTTCTCAGGAGGTATCTCCCCAGCCTGAGTTGGAGCCCTCTGCACTTCTCCCCACTTGCCAGCACCTGCCTCAGTGTCCCAGCCCTGGAAAGAGGAGGAGGGGCCCGGGTCACCTACCTCCTGGGCCACCAGGCTGGAGATGCGCACGGCCCGCCTCACCCGGCCTTTCTGGGCCCTGGGCCGCAGAGCCCCTGTCCTGCTCGCCTTCCCTGCTGGGGCCGCCATGGAGGACTTGACTCCCCCCAGCCTGCATGCCCTGGGGCCCAAGGGCCCAACCAGTGCCTTACTTGCACCCCAGCAGCAGTCCCAGCCCAGGCTGTGCCCCGGAGGTTGGCCAACTGGCAGCCAGGGCTACCTCTGGCATGAAGCCAGGGTGGTTGGGGCTGGGCCCCAGGGCTGGGGTCACCTGGGCAGTGATCGTGGGCTGCAGTCTGCCTGGCTCATACTGCTCATAGCCCCTGGTGTGGGCTTCGCTGCCAGGGTGCTGCGCTCGCTCTGCCCGCCTGCCGCCAGCCGGGCAGCTGCGGTTCCCACCGCTGCTCCTCCAGCCGGCCCCTCCTTCTCCCAGGTCCCCACCCCCACCCCGCCACACTGGGCTCCCCCGCCCTGCCCGTGCCCGCCCCTCCACCCCGTGCCAGGCCAGCGGCCCCCTCCCGCGCAGCCTGCTCCCAGCTCCTGCTGCAGCCGCTCCGCAGCCCGTGCCCCTCCCCCTCATCCAGCAGCCTGGCCTGTCACCACAGATTAATGGTCTCCCCAACACCCCCGCCCCGCCAGTCCAGTGCCGAGCCAGCCAGAGTCAGAAAGAGACACCCAGAGATGGAGAGACGCCCGGCGACTGGCAGGGGCACAACACACAGACACATTCAGACAAGACACGCAGATCCACAAGACACAGGCACCTGCCTCAGGCCCAGGGCAGGGCCGATGCCAGGGACCCGGTGGGAATTGAGAGAGAGAGGCAGAAACCGGAGGGGCAAAGAGGTAGGCAGCCAGATAAGGGCCTGGGGTGTGGGGGAATGTTCTAGAGTCAAGGCCAAGGGGCTGGAGACCTGGCAGAGACCCAGAGAGCCAGAGGCAGCAGGAGGCTGGCCAAGGGAGGCCAGAGCAGGGCAGCTCCTTCACGCAGGGCAGCTCCTTCACACAGGCCAACTGGGCAGCTGCTATGGAAGGGGCCTGAGGAAAAGGGGTCCCCCACTGTTCTGGGTTTCTCGCTCACTGCAGAGATTACACTCCTGGTGCCCAAATCCCCAAAGCCATGATGTGAAGAAGGGTTGGGGTAGACTAGGTACTGGGGGTGTTGTAGACCACCTTGCTGCCAGGAGGGGACAAAAGCTAGACTGGCCCTGCCAACAGGGTCATGTAGGTCAAAGCCCCAAAGACAAGTGGTCTCCTCTGGTCCAGGGTTCAGAGACTTGAACCTTCCATATCTTTGCACCCACCACCACCCCCTCCCTCACCCACATGAGGACACCCACCTCTCCAATGCCATGGAGACATAGCGGACACCTCCAGACCATCCTCACACCACCAGCCCCCACCGCCACCTGGGGCATCACCTCAGTTCAGAAAAATCAGGAACCTTCTGACCTTGACCTCTGTGGCTTCCTCTAATTTGAAAGCCTCCTCCTGTTGCTTGCCCCCAGAACCAACTTCACACATATCCTGTAGCCAGACCCTTCACATCCTTGAGGCTACTTTCTCCCCCCCCCCCGGCCCTCTCATGTCCCCTGCCTCAAGTGCCCTGTCCACCCTCAAGCCATACCCTCCATATCTGCCTGTCACATGGCCCCCTCCTCACCAGTCTCCCTCTCTCCAGGACCTTTTGGACTGTTTCCTCTCCTGCCTGAGCTCTGGAGCATCTCCCCTCCACCAGCCCTCTGGGTTGCCCCACTTCAAGGGGCTCTCACTGACTGGCCCCCATCCCCCGACCTCTTGACCACAGCCCTACCTGGGTGACCTTCTCAGTGACATTGTGAGTCCGCTCCTTTATCTTGGGTGCTATGATCTCCCGGTCACTGGTGGGCGAGGCCAGGAAGGGGTCTCCCTTGAGGTCCACAAAGTTGAGGGTGATTTGGGGAATCTTGCTAATGGTGCGGTAGCGCACGAGGTCCGAGTCTGAGGTGGAGTTAAGCAGGCCACTGCGCAGGGGGTGCATGGCCCCTGGGATGGAGAGGCAAAGTCAGGTCAGGTGGGTGGGCCAGGAGCTGACAGGCAGTCAGGCCATGGGCATTGAGACCAGAGTGAAGACCAAGCCCTCCTCAGGCCAGCGCCATGGGGGGCATGAGCCAATGGGGTCAGATCAGGAGACCCAAAGTCAAAGAAACAAACAAGGACCAGATCCCCTCCCCATTTTAAAAAGGAAATGCAGTTATGAAACGAAGGCCAAATGAGGGCGAAGAGAGAGTCTGCTCAGTAGGCCCTGGGGCCTGCCAGAAAGCCAGTGGTGTCAAGAGCCTCCAGGCCTCTGCTGCCCCTCCCAACCACAGCCATCCCTGCTCCAGGAGGTCCTGGGACAGCGGACCCATGGGCCAGCAAGGGTTCTGGGAGTGGAAGAGTATAACGGGATGAATGGACATTTAATAGAGTAAAAGGCCACTTAATGAGATTAAATAAGTGCTTAATGGGATTTCCATCTCCCAGGCTCCCTGGCACCCAGGACGCACGCAGGGGAGAGGGAGGAGGTGGAGGGCCTGGGCTTGCAGGCCTGGTGGGTGGGGAAGGGCACAGACCTCTAGGTGGGGCAACTTGCTGGGCCTGCCTCACCAGTGCTGGCATGGCGCGGTGGTGGGGGCAGGGCCCCTGCGCGCATGGCCTCGATGTCGTCAGCCGAAGATGCACGGCGCACACTGGCACAGCTCTCTCGGGAGCGCGTCCGGGCCAGGCTGCAGCTGGAGCCTGAGGCATCAGGGTTGAGGCTGTGGGCCCTCGGAGACGGGTGTGGGCCAGGTGCACTGACCGTAGGTGAGCCCGGGCCCACCAGTGCACGCCGCTCCTCAGCCGGCCCAAGCCCCACCACATGGTTGTCCATGGCCGACACCTCGTCCAGGGCCAGTGATTCGCTGCTGGGTGCCGCAGGCGTGAGGTCCACATCCACCACCACAGCTCCGGGGGCACCCACACTGCCCGCACTGCCCGGCCGCCCAGCAGACTCCCGAGTGGTCAGCGCCAGCAGCGCAGGCAGCTTCAGGCGGAAGGTCTTGGCCCGACCTGTGGGAGAAGAGAGGCCTGTGGCCCCAGGATGCCAGCCACCCGGAGGAGGCCAGGCCTCCAGGAGCTGGAGTCCCCACCACGAGGAACTAGGGACCTAACAGCCCTCCATCCCCAGCCCCAGGCACAGAACTCATTTCCCAAAAAATCAAGTAATCTACCCAAGGCTAATCTTAATCAACTGCTATTGCTAGCCTCACTTCTAGGCCGACTCCATAAGTCCTCCCTAATTCTCTCTACTGCCCTGGAAGGGACTATCCTCCTCATTGTAGGGATGAGGAAAATCAGGCATCGAGGCCTAGAGTGACCCTCTAGAGGTCATAGTCAGTGCTGGGCCTGCACTTGGGTAGGGAGTGATGCCAGCTGCTCTCTCCCATACCCTGGCAGCTGGCATCTGCAGGACCAGAGTCATTGCTGTTGTTGTTTTAGAGCTTGAGAAACAAAGAGATGAATGCCTGTACCTGACTCTAGGGAGATTTTTAAATTAATCCCAAAGAGGTCATCCTGGGTGAGAGGGATGGGAGGTTTTGGGTGACCTGGGGAAAGAGGTGGAGATGTCTTGTCTCTAACCAAAGAGAGAATTCCCTCACATCCTCTCTTCCATTAGCAGGGCCACTTAGGGGAACTTGGCCAGTCCAGGATCAAGAAGGACCACAGGACAGAAACTCCACAGAGAGAGAGAGAGAGAGAAACTGAGTCCCTGAGACACAGCTTTCAAATGAGCAGAGGTATCCACTCCCAGGTGGCCAGGGCCATCAAGGAAGGGTGAGTCTCCATCCCAGAATAGCTCAGGACAGAAAAGACCAATCCTTAGTGGTGTGGGGTAGGAACCCAGCAGGAAAGGCTGAAAAACAGGTGCTGTCTTGACCCAAGGACGCGTGATCCTGAGCCCTGTCTGCCGATCCTGGGCCAGGCAGGACCAGGCCACTCCCTGGGGTTCTCACACTCCCTCTGTTCCTGCGGAACACTGGCCTCGTGCAGCTCAGAGCCCAGAGAAGCAAGACTACGTACTCCTGACAGGGCTCACTTACCGGGAGCCAGCCAGCTGGTGGTGGGGCCCCGGTGATTGGTGTCACGTGCCGGGGACCCCACCAGGTCCTTCTCCATCACCACCTCAAAGTTGAGGATGAACATGATGACAGCCCCATCCTCGTTCTTCACAGGCACCACATCCACCAGACACAGGAAGCAGCTCCCTGCAGGGTGGGGAGAATATGCCACATGACACCAAGTGCACAGGGCACAGAGCCAGCCAGGATGGACTCCAGACCCAAAGGGTCCATCCATTTCTGCCTCCCCTGCAGCCCCACCCACAACTCCCCCACTCCCCTCCAGCATTCCGGCCCCCATCATGCACCCTGCCAGTCTGGGCTCCATCCCTCACTGTATCTGTCCCAGCTTACTGGGTACATCTTTCCCTCCTTGCCTAGATTCTTTCTCTTACCCTCCTTCCCTATGTGTATTTTTTATCACTGGCTTATGATCATTTCTTCCTCCATATTTCCACTTCAGTTTTCCTGTCCTCTCAATGTATCTTTGCTTTTTTTCTCATTCAAGGCAGTGTTGCCTCGTGGTCAAGTCCACCGGCTTTAGGCCCAGAATCTCTGGGCTCAGATCCCACTTCTGCAGCTTAATGACGTCTGCATTCTTCTTAAGTTATTTAACATCCCTGGGCCTCGTTTTCCTCACTTATAAAGTAGGGATTATAATGATTTTTTTCTCACTGGTTGCAAAGATTAAATAAGTTGGCATGTGCTGAGAGCTTGGGGCCAGGTCTGGCATGCACTGAACACTACAGTTGACCATGGCTCTGTGTCCCTGTCTCTGTTCCCTCTAGATTAGCTCCCAGCCGTTGTCAGTCCACAATGAGATAAGTAGAGACGTTGAAAGGAAGAGTTTCAAGACCTTTATGGCTATTTGGCATTGCCACGGTATCTAAGCATGCCACCTTGTATTTCACAAAAGTACTTTCCTGTGACATGGTAGAAATAAACTAATAAACTTCTAGCTCTTTCATCTTAACTTTCTTTGTGTTCTTGATTTTCTCCCTCTCGGTCTCTGTCCACAGAGCCTCTTTACTGGGCCAGGTCAGCTCACCCCTCCATCTGGGCTCCTATGGCACACATGGGCCCCACCCCACTGATCTCTGAAAGAGACCACTGAGTTCTAGCCCTCAGCTCAGCTCTGCCAGTTCCCAGGCATGCTCCGCAGCTCCTCCTCTTCCTGAGGTGAGTGGGGTCCTTTCCTATCTGTCCACTGGTCTTCTCTGCCTCCCAGTGTCCACATTGCCTCTGTGGGGCCTGGCATCTGGCATAACACACCTTGGGAGCCAGTGCTAGCTCACAGTGTCAGTAGCCAGGCAATGGTGACATGGAGGAGGTGGTCACGAATGGAGAAGAAGTGAGGGGTGATGAGTCACGTGGTACCATCCCATCTCTAGTGACCCAGCCTCAGCTGTCCCTCATGCTCACCTCTATTTCCAAGAGCTTCCTCGGGCTAGTCTCCCTTCCCTCTGACCCTCCCCCTCACTCCCCCCAGTAATGGCAGTGGTGATGTGAGGGGGCGGGGCAGGGACTTGAAGCAGTGCTTGAGGCCTCCAGCCAGGCCTGGGGGGCTGAGTGTGGGGAGGCGGGGAGCAGAGCTGGCTGTGGCGAGCAGACTGGGTGGAAGGGCCTGGCTCCTTTAAGATGCTGGCTGGGTTCAGCGCCACAGCCGGAGATGAGGCTGGCACTGAAGCAGCCCAGGGATTCTAGCACTGGTCTAGAATCAGCCACGGGGTCCTCTAGTGGAAAAGGTCTTCTGCGACCAACTTACACAGGACGGTGCCAAGGTAAGAGCTGAACCCAGGAGGAGCTGGTCAGGAAACCTCTGCCCCACCCGACAGCCCTTCCACTCACCGCATCCCAGGCTCTGCACAAGGGACCTGAGCTCAGGGGCTCTGTGTGGGTCTCCCTCCTGCAGCTGCTCTTGTCCCCTGACCTCCGGCCTCTGACATAGAGCTGTGGTGTTGGAGCTGCAGGGGGCTGGGCCCAGCTGGAGACCATTTGGCACCCAGACAGCCCGCCTGGAGTTTATGCCCTAATATGGTGATGGCCGGCAGCGGTCTGAATAGAGACTGGCCTCCTCAGGACTCAGGAGAGGCCAGCGACCAGGAAACCTCAGCCCTGGAGACCCCAGAATCCACCCTGGGCACCCCAGTGATCCAGGCCCTGATTTATGGCCCTCACCAGGAAACCCGTCTCAGAGAAGTCTAGAGTCTAGAACATGGAAGATGGGCCCAACCCTTCCAGAAACATTGGGGTCTCTGTCCCCAAGACAAGGCCCCAGAAACACTGGCCTTGAGTCCTCAGAACCCCGTTCCCATGTCAGTCCAGGCTACTCAGCCAGAGAAGCCAACTCTGCATTCTAAGGCCTACCTAGCCCAGGACCTTGGCATCTCACAATAACCCTCCCCTTTCCAACAGAGAAGCTCCAGGACAAGCCTCCCTCCCGTGCCAGACACCCTCACACAGCATCCTCATCCCCCTCCCTGTGTTGACATTCAAGAAATTTCTCCTTTCAAATAATCCAGTCAAAGGTCTAGTTATTCCAAACACATGAACCCTGGCCCTGCTTGATGGCTGAAGGGGACACAGATGGGGACGGGGACGGGGACGGGGATGGGGATGGAAGGAAAGGACGCTAGGGGCTGAGTAGATCTGGCATCTCGAAGGCACTGTCTCACCTGCCAGGTTGGCCGGTCTTCCTTGAGCTGCCACATCACCCACCCAAGCTCTTCAGCTTGGCCTGCTGGCTAGACCCCACTGACTAGCAGTATGGGGGACAGGGAGGTCAGCCAGGCTAGAGATAGGAGCTGGAGCTGGGCAGCAGCACAAAGCAAACAGAAGTTTGTGGGCATTAAGATGCTCAACTTCCCAGCAGAGAAGCCACCTTGAGAGCCAGCGTCCACGCTGCACCGAGGGAGCATGGCTGGCAGGGCATATTCAACAGTCTTGCCTACTCCCTTGCCCCAGTGCCCACCCAGCCCCAGGCCTCAGCCCACCACTCTTCTCTCCTCTCCTTCCAACTCACCCTGTCTCCCACCAGGGGCTCAGCTTACCCAAGGCAGAGGTGGCCACAGGAAGGGCCACAAGGCCTGGCTGGGCAAGGGTGCAGTTCCGCCAAGAACCACTCTGTGGCAGGCACGGCCCACACTCCAGAGGCAGCCAGAGCCTTCAGCTCTCAGGGAAGGAGCGGGCAGCCTGAAGGGTGTGGGACAGCTGGGAAGGGGGGGACAGCTGGGAGGTCAGACAGCCTTTGCCCATCGCGTTAGGACACTGAGCTTGTCACATACTGCGGAGTCCCAGGGTGCTCGCCTGCAACACAGGCCCACCCCACAGAGCTGGAGGGATACAATGACATAAGATCCATGTGGCTGGGAGCCTGGCTCAAGGAGGGCTCCACAGACTGGAGAAGGAAGAGAAGGAGGCGAGCAGATGGGTCTCAGCCATGGAGCAGACCCCAGGGCCAGCATGACTTATGTGGCTGATGACAAGACACATCCCACTGCCCCTCCTCCAACCCCAGCACAGCTGGAGAGACCTCACCTCAAGTGAAGCCTCCCCGCCAACCCAAGCCTGCCTCCACCCCACTGGCCTCTCTGGGGACAGAGACAAGGAAAGGGGAGGCTGCTCTTTATACCTAAACCCTAGGTGCCTTTGACCCTGCTGGCCAGGGCGAGGCACAGCAGGCCCTCTCAGTAGGACTTCAGAGGACATGTGGCTCACTGCAGGTCACTGAGTGGGGATGGGGCAGCAGGAGGAACCCTGGGGAAGGAGCAGGTCTGGGTGCATCCACATGTGGCAGAAACAGCTCTCTTGATTCCATGAAGATCCCCATCATTCAGGGCACAGCACCTAGCTTGCTTTCATTTGGTGCCAACTCATACTTGGGAGTATACCTGGGGGAGGCAACTGTCCGGGCCCCGCATCCAAACCCTCCCACGTCAGGGCTCCACCCAGTGTCCGAAACCCGATTTCCACCTCTAGACACCACTGGCCCAAGCCAGGCCCCAAGGGGAGCCACACGTGGCTTTGTCAGGGGCCAGGCCTTATCTCTCATGGCAGCACCAGGCAGGGAAGAGGAGGCCTGTAGATGACCTGAGTGGCCTTGGGCAAGTTCCTGAGGTCAGTTCTTGGCTGAGGCCTCTGTAAATCAGTATCCTCGTGGCTCCTTCACAACCTCACGGACATCACTGAGAATATACAGGTGAAGCGTTCGGAGCGACATGACCAAAAGACAGCCCTGGGGCCTGCCCTCTGTGAGCCAGTGTTCAAAAGGACCACAATTCGGCACACAGAACAAGATGGAGGAGGAGGAGACAAACCAGATGGCAGGGGAGCCCTGGGGAGCTAAGCTCTCTGTCCTGGCCATCAGGAGATCGGGCTCTCGCCCTCCCCCTCATTGGCTGTATGACTATGGGCAGGTCACCCACCTCTGAGATTAGACTCCCTGTGGGTTCCACAGGGACAAGTGATTCCCGCCCTGGGTGCCAGATGAGATGACAGATGGCCTTGTGAAAGCATCCAGAGCCATAACGAGGCCTGGTGGCGGGTCCCTGCAGGGAAGGTGACCTCCAGCATCCTCACCCTGGCTGCCTCCCTGCCTCGCTCCGAGCAGGAGGAGCTATGCCCAGAATGGGTCCAAAGTCACACTGAGGGCAGGAGGCTGGGGCTGCCGTCAGCCCTGTCCCCCGCCCCAGGCAGAGGCTGTCTCCCGAGCAGCCACCCAGGGCTGTGCAGTGTCAGGTTATATTTAGCCCGGTGGCGGCGACAGGACAATGCAGCGGGAGCTGCTCCTGGCCAGTGGCCACCATGTCACTAACACCACTCTTCGTGGGCAGCCAGGGGGCCCAGGGAAGGCTAGGGACATTGCAGACCCAGGGGACAGAGGAGGGGAGTCTGAAGGGCCAGTAAATTAGTATGTGTGCACACATGTGTGTGCATGTGTGTATGTATGTGTGAATGCGTGTGCATGTGTGTGCAAAGATGTATAACAGAGCATGTGTGTATCAGAGACAGAGACAGCTCTTGAGTCCAGGAGCTAAGGAACGCAGAGTCCTGGGGGGCAGGCTTGGGGGGCTCCAGCCAGGCCTGCCTGCCATAGAAGCAGCACCCCTAGACAGAACCCTCCACCTGCACTTCCGGCCAGACCCTGCCAGTGATTGTCTGAATGGGGCCAAGAGCCCCTGCCATCATATCATCTCCACCTGCCACCAAACCTGCAGTCCATGACACAGCTGAGCAGTCTCTACCACCACTACAATACCTCAAGAGGCCAGCTCTGCCCAGGAAAGCTGAAGCCTGCTCTGCTGCCAGTCTCCTGGTGCCACCCCACCTCTCCAGCCACAACCTCATGTGGTAAGAACCAGGAGTCATACCTCCTGCCCTCCTGCCATGAAGCCCCGGGAAGGTGAGACAAGGTCACCCTGACCTGGGAAGCTGCTCGTGGGCTCCACTTACAGTTCTAGCGGCCACCCCAGCACCCTGCCACCCCCAGCTTCCTCTCCCCTCCTGCTCCCTCTTCCTCCAACTCCCTACGGTGCTTCCTGGACCCCTCTGTAGGGGTTATCCTGACTGCTCCACCTGGCCTACAAGGTTGCTTCTCTCTAGGAACATGTCCAAAACCACACCTCTTACACAGGAGATCATCACAGGCTGGATTCTGGGGAGAGCTTCTCCCCAGCCAAGAGTCAGGGCCTGAGGCCAGGAAAACCCTCTTTTTGGGAGGTACTGGGTGATCAGAAGGACTACTAGTGGCCTCAGGGGTGGTAACAGTTATGGCAGGTGTGGACAAGCCATGTCCCTATTTTCTCACCTCCCTTCCAGATCCAGGGACACAGACCACCCTTTCAGGACAGAATTTGTCTGTCTCAAACCCACAGAAGCCCCTGTCCTAGGTCTAGACGGCAGACAGAACCACCACGGGAAATCAGGTATCTTTCCCTGAAGCAACATTAAATCCAGTCAATGGTTACGATGGAACAGAGGATGCTGCTAGGAACCTAGGCAAGGGGCAGGGGGGAAAAGTGGAAACTATACCAGCTGGGTACCCTCCAGCCCCCCTTCACTGTGACCCCATACACAGCCTGCCACAGGGAAGCAAGGGCAACACAGAGCTGCCACTGCCCATCAGGGGGCAATCCTGTGGTCCCTGCCCTCCTCTGGCGCTCCATCATGGCTCCCAGCGTACCCCAGAGGGCCTGGGGAGCCCTGATAAAGCCTGTCCCAATTCCAGTTCTGTCATGGCAGGCTTTATCAAGCAGCCCACAGCTTCTTGGTCATTAAACCAATAGTGCAATTTCTCTCTGGCTTGCCCTCCCATGGGTCTCTGTGGACCATACCCAAGCAAACACAAGTGCTGGTACAGACCCCTGAGAAGGCAGGTTGAGCACATGACAACGACCCAGACATAAACAAGAAAACAGCATCATCTACCGACAACAGGGTCATCTCCCTAGAGAGGGGACAAAATCAACAGATAAGCAATTAGGACTCAGGAGAGAGCTCAGCAAGCATGCTAGATACAAGATCGACCCACGAATACAGACAGCATTCCTCACCAGCAGCCAGCAGCAACTAGAAAATACAGTGAAAAGTAAAAGATTTGATTCAGTAGCAATACAAACCATAAAATATCTAGGAATCGACCAAGAAAGCCCACATGGGAAAACAACCAAACTCACATAAAAGAAACAGAAATGGTCTGGTAAGTGGAAGGACAGTTCTGGCTCTTGACTGGACAAATATCATAGCTATGTCCATCCCCCTAAATCAACTTACAAAACTAATCTAATTCCAATCAAGAGTCTAGTGTTTTTTGATTTGGGGGTTTGTGTGTGGTTTTTGTTGTTGTTGTTATTTTTTTTGCCTTTCAGGAACCTAATAAAGTTTCTCCAAAATCTATAAAGAAGAGGAGCCAGGAACAGCCAAGTCAACCTTTGAAAAGAATAGAGGGAGCATAAGGTGCACTGCACACTCTGGTTTTGTTGTTGTTCTGTTGTTTTTAAATGTGGTTCTGATGCAAAAACATACAAATAACTATTTGGAACACAACAGAATGCTCAGAGACAGATCCATGGCTATGTGGGAAGTTAATCCATTCTAAAGGTGGCCCCACAAATCAATGGAAAAACACAGACTAGATGTGTTGGGAAAGTTGGCTCATTGCATGGAAAAAATAAAACCTGATCCCTGCTTGACACCACGACACCACATCTGAGAAAGGCTCAGGATGGATTCCAAACCCAAGTGAAAAAGGTGAAACAATTAAATTAACAGAAGAAAGGTAGATCTTTGCAACCTCCAGAGAGTGATTAATATCCTCAACAGGCTTTAAAAGCGCAAGCAAAGCTAAAACTCAATGATTTATTTTATCAATATTAAGCATAATAGGGATAAATTGAACAGGAACTGAAAGGGAGAAGATATTTACAATATCTTGATTCAACAAGAACTTAACATCTGATATATACTGATTTTTTTTTTTTTTTTTTTTGAGTACTGGGAACTGAACCCAGGTGCTTTATGAGTGAACTATATCTCTAGCCCTAAAAAGAGACAGTGTCTCGCCAAGTGGCTGATGCTGGTCTTGAACTTGCAATCTTCCTGCTTCAGCCTCCCTAGTCACTGGGATTATAGGTGTACACCACCTTATCCAAATATACTGAATATTTAATTGTATGCGTTTGTGTTTTTAGAATATTTAAGCAACTCCTGCAGATCCACAAAAATGAAAGGCAGCAACCTCAACAGGAAAATGAGCTAAGGACATAGGTAAACAATTCACAGGAAAGTAAACCTACAGGGCTGTCAAGCCTAAGAGATATTTGGACTCGCTAAAAATCGAAGAAATGCAAATTAAAGCAACAAGATTTCACTTTCATGTATGAGATTGGCAAAAATTAGGAAGGTGGATAAAGCCAAGAATGGTAGGGGTAGATGATTCTCATGCTCCATTCAGGAGGATGACAACCGGAACAGCTGTTCGAATGAGTCTGGTTAGTTGAGAGTCCATATGTCCTGTGACCTGACACCTTCATTTCTGGGCAGGTATCACATGACATCCTCACACAAGTCTGGAAGGGCCCATATATAAGGATGTTTGCTGCAGTATCCCTTCTGGTGGGAGAGACGTTGAGACAACCTGGGATCCTTCCCTGGGAGAGTGGGCAGGTAAGACACAGTGGATGCACACCCCAGAATGGGAAGCCACAGACCAGACATCTGGTGGGGAAGGTGGATATGGTAAGCTCATTCAGCAGCCCAACTGGACTTAAAGACACACTCCTGTGTCAGAAAAGTGAACACCAGAATACAATATATAGCACAGTATCATTTACATAAATTAAATCTATATGCATCTACCCAGACAAAATACACATTTGCAAGAACATATGCAAGCAACACATTCACAGTAAGTACACTTGAATGGTTGCCTGCAGGGAGCCTAAGGAGACCAGAGAGTGAAATAAAAGGGAAAAGGTAAAAATAAAATGAAAGAGAAAGGGTAAAAGAACATTATCATGAGTGTTATGCTTTCAGTAATTTGGGGAGCTGGGCCAGCGGAGGCCTGGGGAGGGAGAGGAGAGGCAGGCAGGGGTGCTCAGCAGGGCGCAGGGCAGGTAGCTGCTCCCATCATCTGACAGCAAGACCTGGTGCCACAGGGTGACAGCCTGCTGAATGGCAAGCAGAGTGAGCCTTGTGACTGGCATGCTGCTTGCTGGTGTCTGTACTTTTGGAGGAACACCCTCACCCCCGCAGCACGGGGACAGGCACTATGATCCCACTTAGGAACTGAGGACCCAGATTCTCAGACCCAAGCTAAACCCTGGTTTCCTGAGGCCATGAGCCCAACACATCCCCAAAGGGCCTCCAGGCAAGCAGCCTGAACACAGGAGATCCACACTGAGTAGGGCTCTAGAAATGGCGACACCTTGGGCCCCTGCCAGCTGGATAAACCCAGGCCAGTCCCTCAGCCTTGTGAGCAAGAGTGCCCCCATCCCATAAAATGACCAGGGAATCCTGTTTCTGAAAGAGCTGGGAAGCAGTCTGTGCCAAGTGAAGGGCTCCCAGTGTGCAAACTGTAAAGCAGGATTACAACAGTGAGTGCATCCATGAGCTGTCCAGCAGCTGCCATCTCTTGTCCCAGCTGTGCTCCATGCCCCACCTCAAGCCTTCTTGATCCCCCTAAGTGAGGAGGCCCTGAGCCCTCAGATACCTTCCCTGGACCCACTATGTCTCCCACACAGCAACACTAGAGGACTTCCAGCTTTCCCAGTACTACCTCAGGCCACCTCCACCTGGTCCCACCTTCCTCTATCCCTGATGGCCTCCTCATCCTCTGTCATCCTGCCCAGCCTAATATAAGACTATTGCAAAGCTTTTCATATGGTGAAAGACTGAGGCCCAGAGATGAGAAGTGATTTGCCCATAGTCACACAGCAAGTCTGTAACAGAGCCAGAAATGGCCCCCAAGTCACCTGACTCCCAGCATTGGTCTTCTACCACACAGACCTGCCCACCTCATTCATTCATTCAGCAAACACATACAGGTACTGACCCTCCCACTATGCACCAGGCATGCAGATACCACAGAGAACAAAACTAACAAACTACCTCTACCTTCGTGGAGCCTGGTGGGGAAGGTGGATGTGGTAAGCTCATTCAGCACTGGGGAGAAGGAAGATAAGAGTCAGCCTGAGCCTCCGAGGGCCTCTAGGCCAGCAGACAAGAGGCCACTCAGGACAGGAGTTACTCAAGGCCAGCCCCAATACACAGCACAAAGGTCTTCATGAGTAAAGAGGGGACCATGGGGCCAGAAGCTGCCCATGTACCTCCCATGCTTGCTACCTGTCCCAGAGGTCCCTCCCGGCTCCTTGCTGACCCTAACCCCAGGCCTCCTGGCCTGTCAGGGAGGGAAATTCTGCTAAGCCCCTCATCTAAGAAGGCAAACACTGCCCACGTTTCTGCCTACACAGAAGGGCAACAAGAGTGTTTTTAAAGAAAAAGGGACAATTCTCAGCCCAAGTATGAGTTCTCTAAGGGGGTGTTTCAGGCACCCTTGGGGAAATAAATAAGCATATAAGGGCTTTCTTGAACCCCTCAAATCAAACAGCACAGGAAACCACCTCTGGGCAGAAAAGAAGCTCACGCTCACCCCATCCCACGCCTCCAAGTTGGCCCTCCTACTGCCCCCCCCATTCCTCCTCCCCAGAGCCCAAGGCCACTGTCAACTCTGTTTCCACCCCAGACAGCTCTGCACAAATATTTACATAGCTCCTCCCGGGGGGCTTCAGCAGACACAACACGGAGGAGCCACCCTCCCACACTCTCCAGGCCCTGGGTACACCGAGGGTAACAGCACCCCTCCATCCATAGGCCTGCCTCACCCTGGGTGGGACTTGACAGGAAGCCCCCCCGCCAACAGCCAGGACAGCCCACCACGGCAGAGCTCAGAAGCTAAGTGCTCAATGGAGAGAGGCAGCCAGTCTCTGAGAGCATGCCCAGTGCCCCAACAACCCTGCAGGTGCTCTCACCTGCCCATCTCCAGGTCCTGGCCAGAATGACAGGGATACCCCTGCATCTAAGATGAAGCCCCACAATGACTTCAGCCTCACTGTAAAATGCTCCCTTCCATCTAAGCTCCCAGATCCTCCTGGAATCACTCTGGGTGCCTTTCCTGGACACCCAGACAAAACAGCCAAGCACCGACCTCTGATCCCCCTGCCCTCCCAGTCTCAAGGCTTCCCACTTTGAAAAGAAGCTTCCTTTTTACCAAGGTCTAGAGCTGCAGGGGAGGTGAAGTGGACATCTGACTTGGAGAAGGAAGGCCTTGGCATAACAGAGCAGGGCCTCTGATTCGAGGGGACAGGGACGGGTGGGAAATGTGAGAAGAAAACCAGAAGAGATGGCCTGAGGTGTGGAGGATGGCAGGAGGCCAATGGCATGAGGCTAGTACCAGCAGGAGCACCTGAGAGGCTGGGGTCCAAGTTGGGGATAAGAGTATCCCAGTGAGTATGGGGTCACCTCTGGGGCTCTGGGGTCACAGCACACTGAGGAGCAGGTCTGGACCTCAGGTCCCACCCCTCCCTGTAGCCTCAGAGTCAGTTGTTGCAGTTGGGGCCCTCTGACCTTGTTGTCATGGCAACTGGCCTGCAGCTGGAGTGGAGAAGCTAATAGACTCTTCTCCAGAGACACCCCTCTCCCCACCCACGCACAGGCTCCTGGGGACACAGGGACATGGAAACAGGACCAAAATAGTCAGAGGTATGGGGAGACACAGACTTCCAGACAGAGCCCCATAGAGGAGAGGGAGAGAAACAAGAGGAAGGCTCAGGAAGAAGAGAGAGACAGAAAAAGAAGTAAAGAAGGAGAGAGAGGGAAAAAGAAGTAAAAACCAAAGGGACAGAATCAACTAGTCAGGGCAGGTGCTGAGAGAATGGGACACAGCAGGCAGCAAAGCACAGTGGTGGGCAGGCAGCCCAGAGATGGAACAAAGAGCAGAGAGAATGGAAGGGAGAGAGAAGGGACTTCTTCCGGCCTGGTAGAGGAAGAGACACACCTGCCCCAGCTATGGCAGTGTCTGAGCACAGGTTGTACTCAGCTAACACCTGCTGCCCAAGGTACCTCCCAGCCTGCCACCGCACACTACTGGGCTGAGCTTGCAAATCCATCTTAATCCTGGGCTTGACTTTAAGGGGCATCACACAGGGCCAGCAAAGCCTGGGCACGCTGTGTCTCTTCCTCCAGCCCACACTCCCCCAGTCTAGCCTCCCCACCTCCCAGCAGTCCCAGCAACTAAATAATGGGGCTGTCTGGCTCCAGGCCCTGAGACTGCACAGAGCTAGCTAGAGGCACGGACACAGCACAGCTGTCCTTGGTGGCGCCTGCCAGCAAAAAGCCCTGCCTCCTCCCTAGAGCTGCAGCCCAGGGACTCACTCCCTCAAGGCTAGCCAGGCAGAGACCCAGGGAAAGGCCTGAACAGAGACATGAGGTGACACTGGCCTTTTTCCCCTCTGCCTCTCTGCTTGGACACCCAGCAGTACGCACACATGCGGTCCAGGTCAGGCCAGAGGATGGCACCAAGAACTGCATGTCTCAGAGAAGAGGGAGGTTGAAGAAATCTGTCTGCATCCTAGGCCTAGAGTGCCAGGATACATAGGGCCCCAGGTGGCCAAGGGCCAAGGCCAACCTGCTGGCTAACAGACCAGACGATACCTGATCCCCATGGAAACTAGGCAACAGTAAAGAAGGGGCCAGGCAGTAGCCGGCGTAGGGTTTTCTGGGTCAGTGCCCCATTTGAAGTAGTAACCTGGAGAGGGGAAAAGCTTGAACTTGGACGGAGACCTGGGTTCTGCACCCACTCCCTGCACTGATATGCTGGTAACCAGACCGCTGCTCCCCAGTTTCTCCATCTGTAACTCAAGTGGACAAGATTAGGTAATCTTCAAGGTCACTGAGATCCCAGGATAGTGCCTCTGCAGAAGAGGTCCCACAGCATCCCCTCCCTTAAGGAGCTGGCCTGGGCCAGGAGAGAGGGCCAGGTCCCCCAGAAGGACCGCACACTATGGCCAAAGACAAAACCACTCAGACTTCTCCTGCCAAGGGGCCAAATCCACCAGCAAAAGCAACCAACATCCACAGCAGCACTGGCATGATGTTCGTGGAGGAAGAACCTGTTGCAGGCACTCTCTCAAAATCTCGGCCCCCTAGTGAGGGTCCTACACTATCCCAGAAATGAAAACAGGCTCCAGAAATCAACCAACTTGACCTAAGTCACATAATTTCTCACATTAGACCTGAACCCAGGATTGATGTGTTCATATTCTTTCATAAAACCAGTGGTTTGCAAACTTTTAAGATAAAAGTTTCACATAAAATAATGTGTAACTCTCTGATATGGTTTTCAATATGAGAGACAGCAAAACAGAGCAGGCAGGGCCCAAGTCAGACAAATGGGAATCCATTCCCAACCTGTCACTTTCCAGCTATGTGACTTTGGGGAATTTCTTAATTTCTCTGAACTTCAGTTTCTTCATCCATAAATTGAAGATAAAAATAGCATCTGCTTCTCAAGGCTGTTGTGAAGATTGCACAAGATAATGTAAGTGAACAGTGTCCAGGAGGTAAAACCTGCCCACTGCCTCAGGGTGTGCATCTAGCCTCACGGCCCCTGACTGTCTACCAGCAGAAGCCCGTGTGCTGTGAGCAAAGCCCTCTTCCACAGGGCTACAGTGGCCATGTTCTAGGGGTGCTGGCAACTGATGCCACAAACTGCATGCCAGCAAAAAGCAGGGGGGTGAAGGATGCAAGCCTTTGCAGGGTGGTGTTGGCCCCTCCAGCACACATACTGGGGGGTTTGATGCTCACTGGCTTCCCTGCCCAGCAGGAGGCAGAATATGCGGGATTGTCCACAGCTGACAAGCTCCCAGTGGGCAAGATCTTGTCTATCCTGTGTGTCCAAGAGCCCAGCTCTAAGCCCGGCTCAGAGGCAGGCAAGAAATACATACTGGACACACAGTGGTGAGCAGCAGGGTTTAGGCAGTCCAAATGCGAGTTCCAGAGCTCTGTTCACTGTCCTCTGATGCCCACAGGCCTCTAGGCCCGCTGCATTTCCTCCCTGAGCGGAGCCCACCCCAACAAGACAGGCACAGAGTGGGAGCGGCCCGCCTGGCTCTGTTTATCCGCTCTCCGGAAACCCAGAGCAGCAGGGCTGGGAGGTGGTGGCTGAGCAGAGACACCTGGCGCAGGAGCGGGTGGAGGGGCGGGGCGTTCAGTAGCTGAGACAAAGGAAACTGAGGTCGTGGGTAGAGGCACACACCTCCCTTCAAGTGCTGGTAAAGTGCTGGAGAGAAAGGCAGCGGGAGTCAGCAGTGAGCGAGCTAGAGTCCTGAAGTCCTCCCTGGCCTCACCTTCGGTGACATCTCTAGGTCCAGTCACCTGGCATCGGCTACCCTAGCATAGCCAGATCCCTGTGACCAGATGTCAGCGCCCAGCCCCCCAGCCTGACCCAGGACCTCCATCCACACAGGCACCTGCCATCCCTGCCCCATCCCACTCCAACCCACCTAGCTAAACATGCTCACACCTGCACTGGGAGGAAGGAGCCAGAGGTGTCAAACCCTCAGCCAAGCAGCCTAGGAGCCCGTGGGCCACATGGAAAACCATCTATCAGAGCAAGTGAGGTGAAGACACAGACCCTGCCACCCCACTGGCACATGGACACGCCCCCACTTGGGTGCCCCCCACACACAGGACCCCGCGGGTTCACTAGCTGTCCCCCAGCCCTGGGTCCTGCCCCACCGGGGTTCCCCCCTCGGGTTCCCCACGTCACCCCTGCCTCATCCCTCTCGGCCCCACCCTCTGGTCATGACCCCGCCCAGGCCCCGCCTACCATCTTTCCGGTAGAAGGCGATCTCCACTTTGCGCTCTTCGGCGCCGAGCAGGGCCTGCGCGATCTGCGCGGCGGCACGGCGCTGCGTGCGCGGCCCATGCAGGAAGTCGCAGGTGCAGGGCCGCTGCATCACCTCGGCCCGAGAGTAGCCGCACAGCTCGCAGAAGCCGTCGTTGCAGTAGATGACGGCGCAGTTCTCCACCCTGGCGTTGGCGATGATGAACTTGCGGCCTGGGGGGAGGGGATGAACAGGCATGTGAGCGGGGACCCCAGTCTCGCGGGTTCCCAGTTCTTCCCCACATTGTCTCACCACACACAGCTGTCCGGGCACTCCCCGCAGCGGGGAGCACGACGGGGACTGGAGTCCCCAGCAGTGGGCGAACGCAGCTGATCCCGACACAGGTGCCTCAAGCGGGGTACGGCCTGGTGGAGTGCCCCCTCCCTCCAGGCCCTTGGGGCTGGCTGCGTGGCTTCCCCGGGGCAGTGCGCCAGCAGCCCGCCGCCCCCTCCGCGCCCGGAGTGAGGCCAGTCTGGGCGGGTGTCAGCAACGCGTGTCAGCAGCCGCGGCGGAGGGATAAACACTGGGCCTGGAGAGGGAGCCTGGGAAGGGCCAGAGATGGCGGCCAGCCTTCCCTTTGCATCAGCTCCTCTGACTTCTTCCTCTTGATCCCTGCTCTCTAGGCTGGGGCATGGAGGCGGGGTAGGTGCTTCCTAGGAAATCATTCCATGTATCTGTAGACCCTGCCATGTCACTGCCTGCCAAGACTTCCAAAGGCAGTCAGGCGCTGGGGAGTGGATACCAAAGAGGATGAGGGAAGTAACACGCAGAGCTCCTACAGTGCCTTATCTCATTTGGAACTCTGACAACCCCTTGAGGTAGGTGTCATCATCCTCACATTATGGATGAAGAAACAGGCTCAAGAGAAGTTCGGCACCATGCCCAAGTCCTATAGCTCATAAATGATAGTCAGCTTTTGAACCTTGTCTGGCACAAAGCAGAGGAACAGCTGAGGGTCACAGGAGGAAGCCCAAGGTCATAGGAAGCAAGGGAAGGGACCAGCAGCTCAAACCCAGGAAATTCCTAGAGCCCAGGGTTGGACCTGAGACACTGGCCCACTTGTAAGAAAACAGATCCTGGAAAGGGATGTGACCCCCAAGGATATGAGAGGCCTTTCTTAGTGGCCCCTTCAAGGAGAGAAGCCCCAATGGACCCATTTCAGCTAAACTAGACTCATCGAACCCATACTGCCTCAACAGCCAGGCTGGTGGGTGAGGTGCAGGCTGGCAGCAGCCTCAGCTTGTGCCAGGTAAGGTGCTCCAGGGATAAGAGCTTTCTATAAACAGAAGTTCCAGCCACTATGGCCTTTAATACTTGGCTTTCAGTAGCAGTTGGAATTCTCTTATCCAGTCCCCAGCAGGCACAGCCCTCAGGCTGCAGCCCTGGGCAATCCCCCTAGCAAGGCTCAGCCTGCTGCAGAGACACCTGGCAGGTCCAGGCTCTCAGGATCTGGCCTCCTCCTGTCTTCCTGAGCCACCTTGCCCCTGGCCTCAAGGAAGTTACTTTGGAGTTGAGTCACCTTTATGTCAATTCCCAAGGTCCCCCAAAACTCCCAGGCAGCCAATAACTCCAGGTCTCATGAAAAAAAAAAAAAAAAAACCTAACTCTGTCTCCATCCCTGCCTCAACCCAAGGCAAACCAGAGCACCAGCCACAGAAGAAACACAGTCCCATGTCTTCACACCCAGGCCTGGGAGAGAAAAGCAAGTTTCTTAGAATGCAAGCCCCACCCCACCCCCACTCCTTTCACTGATATCCTAGAATACTGGGACAGAAGGAACCTGAAAAGCCCCTTTGCCCTGCACCCTTCTTCACAGATGTGGAAACTGAGACCCAGAAAAGGAAGGGTCACTCAAGGTCACTTGGCAGAGATAGGACCAGAAGCCAGACCTTCTGAATCCCTCCTAGTTTTCCCAGGTTCTTCCCATGCCTACACAGCCTCCCCAGAACTTGTGGGAAGGAAAGCCCAGAGTTGCCCCCTACCCCCACCCTCCACCAATGTCAGACTCCACCCACTCAGGATCATCCTGTTCCTCTGCTTGAGACAATGCTGCCCATCCAACTGACCCCTCCCTCCCCCCACCACAGTTACAAGCACACGTTGTTCTATGCACACAGGGTCATGGGCAAGGAATGTCACCCTCTCCCCACTCCCAGGGGCCTTGGCAGTCACACCCACTGTGGCACATGCAGACTTGAGGATAGGCACACAAATACCCAGAATTTTCACCTAACTTAGGACACTTTTGGAAGCCTCTCCTGTCAGGCCAGCATTAGGGGTGCTGTAGTCCCCATAAAGGGGTTTGAGGATAATGCCCACAGCAGGAAAATCCACAACATAAGGACACCATAGGTAGCCTGTTAGCCTCAAAGCCCAACCTAAGTCCTAGGATGGGACCCCATGCTCTTGTAGCCTTATCAAAGGCACCTAATCACTGCCCATACAGGGTCAAACTCATGGGTGACACACTGGCTTAGGATCATGTATACATACCACACACACACACACACACACACACTCACTCTCAAGAGCAGATTAGGCTCTGACCCTACATCCTTACTTTCCATCTATCACGTACAACCCATTCAGAATTGGCACACACACTGTTCTTAGGATCCCACAGTTTAAGTCACATACATTCTCATGTCTTTGCACACACAGGCCCCATCCACTCCAGGCTCCCAGAATTGGGGACACATGCACACTCCCACCTCTCCTCCCTTCCATGCACGCTCAGGTGTCACATAGACTTTAGAATCCCAAAAGTCTGAGCTAAGCCTCCTGTCCCAAGCACCAAAAGCAGGCCCCTTAATCCCATGTCCACGGACCCGGACCCTGGCTAGAGCGTTGGGGCCCACCAGCCCCCAGTGACTCGCACTTGGCGCTGCACACGGCCCGGGCACGCCCCCCCCATCCACACACTAAAGAGCTCGACCCGCCCCCAAAACCCCCTCCCCGCCCAGCCCCCACTCACTCTGGCCCTCAAACTTGCGGATGATGGTGTCCAGGAAGGTGTTCTGCGGCGCGACGTGGCCCCTCCGCACAGGCATCCTGAGCCCATGGGCGGGCCGGGCGGGCCCCCACCCACCCCGGCCCGGCCCGGCCCAGCACTAGGCTTCGGGTGGCCTGGCCGGGCCGTGGTCTCCGCACCCTGCGGCCAAGCTGAGCACGGGCGGGGCCGGGACTGGACTGTGGACGCCGGGTCCCGGGTGCTGGCTCCTAACCGCTGGCCGGGCCTGGAGCCGCTTAAGCTCCGGCCGCCCGCACACCTGTCTGCCGGCCTTGGCCGAGCCACGGGCCCCGCTCCGCCGCGTCCCAGCGCCGCGCTCCGCCCGCTCGAGCGCCGGGCTCCCGGCTCCCTCCCGCCCGCCGCCGCCGCGCCGACAGCCGCTCCGGCGCCCGCGGCTCGGGCAGCGCCTGCGGCTCAGCCCGGCCGCGGAAGGGTTAATGCGGCGCGCGCCCCTCCGGCTCCGGCCCCCGCCTCCCGGCCCCCTCCCGCCCGTCGCGCTCCCGCAGCGCCGCCCTCTCCCCCCCACCCCGCGCGCCCGCCCTTCCCATTGGCTGAGCCGCGCTGAGTGCTCCCCCGCCCCAGCCCCTAGCTCTGCCACCGAGCCCCCCGGACTCGCACGCCGCGGAGAGGGGGAAGGGACCTTAGGTAGGGGAACCGTGAGGACAGGTGCGACGGCCGGCTTGGGAGGCGGCCAGGGAAATGGGGTGGGCATTGAGTCCCCACACCAGATTGGGGGGCTCAGAAACCTGATTTGAAGGGAGAGAGCCAGTCACTTATGTCCTGCCTCCCCACCACGCCAAGCACCGGCTGGGTGCACACAGCGTGCGCTCAGAGGCTGCGTGGGTGGCAGGGGTGAGGCCTAGGTTCTGGGAAGACCAGGGTCAGTAGAGAGCAGGAAAATGGAAAGAGCAAGACAGTCTGGAGCCCCAAGCCAGCAAAGATTTGAGATAAGGGCGGGTGAGTCTTAGGAGGGGCACGCCCCCCAATACACGCGCGCGCTCGCACACACACGGCCCTCTCTAGGGTTATTCGAAGCTCTCCGTGGGGGCCATGCGTAGAAAGGGACATTATGACAAGAATTGCAGCCTCCTCGCTGCGGGATCAAAGAGAGGGCCCTGAGCGTGAGGTTCCGGCTAGGGGATCCCCTTGTGCCAATAGCCTGCCCTCCCACTACCGCGCAGGGCCAGCCTTGCGGGCCCAATCCGCGGGCTCGGGCCCTGTGGCGGCTGCTGCAGCCCAGCCCCTCGGAAAACCCTGGCCTAGCCCAAGGCCCCTCCCCCCGGCCAGCTGGCTAGCTCCAGCTGCAGCTCCCTTATTTAGGCAAGGAGGCCTGAGGATGCTCAAGGGCAGAAGGGTGTCTGCCCGCTGCCTGCCCACCCCCTGCCTGGGACTGAGTTAGGGTCTTCCGGGAGAGGTGTCGCTAGCCTGAGCTACCAGGCAGGGCCCCGGGCTGGCTAGGGTGGAGAGGCGAGTGTTGACAGCTGAGCAGGAGGGCAGGCAGGGAGGAGAGCGCAGCTGAGCTGGCCATGGGTCCCCTCCCCTGCCTGCAACCGGGATCAGAGGCCTGCCTAGATGGATGGGGCCATGTGGGGGCTCCTGAGGGCTTGCAGCTGCCTCTGTCCTTGGAGCAAGGGGCTGGGTCTTGTCACCAGGGAGAACCATCCTGGGGTGTGGGGGGAGGGGAGGAACAAAGGGCAGAGAAAGCAGCAGTCCAGAAGGAGGACTGCGCAAAAGGAAAGATCTTGGTGAGACCTCCCTACCAACTTCCATCTTCTGCCCAGGAGCAGAGGGATGCAAACAGTGGGGCCAAACGGGGCCACTGGCCAGCAGATGACACCCTTTTTTATTTGCTGGTGGGTGGGCAGTGACTCAGGGAGGCAGCCTGTGGGAGAGAAGGAGGTGGCTCCACCAGCTGATGCTAAAAAAGTCCAGAGGCTCCAGCCTGTACAGTCATCCCTGAGGCCCCTCTCCACCTCCAGCAGCTTCCTCACTCACACTCCAAGACACCCAGGGCCTGGGGTGACACAGGCTTCCTCACTTGTGACTTGGCATCAGGGGCATCCGCACATCTGGGCTCATAACTGGCCGGGTCCCTTCCTGGCCCCACAGCCACCCGTAGCTTTTGGATTGCCTGCCTTGTGTAGTACAGGGTTCTCCCTTCCAGGGCAGGGGACTGAGAGGAAGTGAGAAAAGGCCAAGAACAACGGTCTTGGAGGGGAAAATGAAGAGATATCTGTAGCTCTTCTGTCCAGACCAAGGGGGTGAGAGAGCCACGTCCCAAAGGGAAGAAGCTACTCATCTGATGTGGCTAGCTGTCCCTCACAAAAGGGCCCATGTTGCTGGGATACACCTCTGCTCTTATCCCAGAGAGAAGTCAGGAGTCAGAGGGACCCTCAATCCCCACAATAAAAGAGAGACCAGGCAGAGAGTAGTCCTTCTCCTGTACAGAGAAGAGAGCTGGCTACAGGAAGGCCAGGTGTCTGTCTCTGCCTCCCTCTATCACCGCCCCCCCCCTCACACACACACACAAAGTCAAAGCTGAATAAGATTTCTGACTTCCTTGGAGGCTCAGGGGAAAGCCCACAGAGATGACGGTCCCACAGAGCCACCCCCACAGTCAAGGACTGAGATAAGGAAGAGAGGCTGTGAAACAGGACAGGCTCTCCCCAAGGCATCCTTCCTGGGGCTCCCCATGCCAGGCATTAATAACAGACAAGCTGATGGCAAAGCCCTGCCACCTACCAACTCCCCACCTCCACTACTCCCAGATCCAGGACAAAGAGAAAAGTACCCACCCTAATACCAGTAACATCCAGAATCTGCCCCAACCCACCTCGGGCCCTAAGAGCCATTTTCAGGGCCTATTCCTGGCAGGACTTCTCCCCCACCCTGCCTTCGACTGAGGAAAGGGAGAAGCTGAATTTATAGTGAGACACATAGGCTCCTCCCAGCTCCCAGAAAGAGACAATTTAGGGAGGAAAGTCTGCAGAAAACATCCTGCCCACCCTACTCTCTGCTCCTGTTCAGTCTGAGGGAGCCAAGCCAGGACTCGCTCTTTTTCCTGGGAGGGAAAAAGAAATTGAAGCCTGCCCCTGCTGGTGGGGCACCCAAGCAGTGGGTCAGGGAAGACACAGCCAAAACCAGGCCCAGGAGAGCCAGTGACATCCACAGGGGACTGGGAAACAATTCCAGTCAGATGGGTGCAGGAGAGACAGCTTATAGATGATGGCTCCTTGGAAACCCCAGGGGAGGAGAGCAGAAAAACAGTCTCTTGGTGCTCAAGGGGAATCTTGGATCACATAGTGGGACTTTGGTTTTCTATACAATTGGGTTTTCAGATAAAGAGGCTTTCAGATATGAACTTAAGTTGGAGAAGAAGAGAATCAAAGACGCAGCATGTTTTCCACCCCAGAAGTAGCTGCTTAGGATGTACTGACAGCAAAAAAGGGGGAGGGAAGGAGGGAGGGAGGGACCCACCTAAAACCCAAGGCCAGGAGCCAGTGCTCCCTTCATGCCCTGCCATCTGCAGCTTCACAGGCGGCAATCCTGCTAACCCCTGGCCATTTCAGGGTCTTCTGCCAACCCGGTCCCTCCATTGGTGGGAAATTTTCCGGGCTTGGTGGTATTAGAAGAAGTTAGTAAGGTACTGAATATTGGGATTCAGGAGAATTGACTTGTGATTCCAGTTCTGTTACTAGTGGTGTCAACAAATGTTTCCTGGGGGCCTTCTGTATGCTGGGCTCTGTGCCAGATGCTGTGGGGTGACAGGAGGGATAAGCCAGGCTCCCTCCCCCAGGGATTCACAGTCTAGTGAGGTTTGGGAGAGGCAGTGGGCAGACAGCAACTGTGCAGTCTGCAGTAAGTGCTGTGGGATTACAGGAGGTGCCAGTTCATTTCAACTGCAGGAGACCGGTAGAGCCTGGTGAGGGAAGGAGGTTTCAGAGCAGGTCCCCAAAGATCAGGCTGGAGCAGGGTAGAAGTATTGCAGAGAGAAGGGACAACATGGGTAAAGGTATAGAGATTGGAGAATGAGATCAGGTCTGTCTAAGGACAAAACAGGTGTGGTGACACGGAGCAGTAGGCTAGCACCATTTGCAGAGGACTGCAGAGTATGAATTTTAGACTGTATGCAAAGGGGACAGACTGAAGGAACAGTGGTGGTAGCTAAAAATGCATTATCCACAAATGTATAAATCATATCTCCTTTTGTCCAACAAAGGTTTGTTAGCTTAAGGAAATGTGCTGTAATAGATTGGAGAAACTGAAGTAGATATGAGGTGATTATTAAATACTGCTATATAACAGCCATCCCAGAACTTAATGGTTTAAGTCAATAATACCATTTATTTGTTCATGGACCTGCAATTTGGACAGATTCAGGCAGGACCACTTGTCTCTACTTGATGGCAAAGCCCTGCTACCTACCAACTCCCACCTCCACCACTCCCAGATCCAGGACAAAGAGAAAAGTACCCAACACTAATACCAATAACATGCAGAATCTGCCACAACCCTCCTCGGGTCCTAAGAGCCACTCCAAACTAGGGGCTCAAAGACTCACTTCCCCATGTTCCACAGTTGATGCTAGCTATCAATGGGATGGCGCTCAGGCTGGGGCCAGACATCCACACTAAGTCTTTTTGGAGTCTGCATAGCATGGCAGTAGTATTCCAAGGGCAAGTATCCCAAGAGAAAACCAGCAGCAGCTGTACCACCTTTAAATACTTAGCCTTGAAAGTCACATAAAATAACTTCTGCAATAATCATGGTCCATCAAATTCAAGAAGAAACACAGACTCCAGCTGTCCCTGGAGGAATGTCACTGTCTTATTGGAAGATGAGCATGTGGGATGGGATACTGCATTTCAATACTTCATCGTCATCACTGTATTAACATATGTTTACAAGTGTTCTGTGCACCTAATCTTGCTCCAAAGACAGTCAGTAATAAATGAATTTTAAGTAATACCAGCACATTTTTTAAAAAGAGCTTTGCATAATCCCACTTTTTTGCAAAATAAAAAAATTGGCATAAAATCTGCAATGATTATGTGGTGAAATATGGGTACTTTGACATGATCACCTTGAAAAAAAGGTAATCTGCCATATGAAGCTATGCAATAATCCAGGGGAGAAATGTCAAAGACTTGAACCGGGTCAGATGTGATAGCGAGGGCCCATCTGTTGCATAACTTTAAGAGTATCACTAAATCTCAATTTCCTTATATGTGAAATGAGGAGATCAAACAAACTGATCTCTGAGAGCCTTTCCAGGTCTCAAAGCAAGTGATTTCTTAATTCTATACTACGCTACACCCACCCATAAACAATCCCTTCATTTTCTTTCAGTACCCACTCCCCTTACCTCCTGCCTCTGATCTCTCAACCTGGGTTACCTGGGGGCCAATGGTTGATCCACAAACAGCATTATCGCCC